ACCTCCCTCTCCCTCTGCTGTGTACTGTAATAACCTCTATCACACACGCACACAACATTACCCCCTCTCCCTCTGCTTGAGGTTGCAATAATCTCTTATACACACCAACAACATCACCTCCCAATCCTTCTGATGGGTTCTATAATAATCTCTATTTTTTCTCTCTCTATCTCACACATACGCACACACACACAGGCGCACACACGCATATACACACAGGCTCACACACACACAGGCTCACACACACACACACACATGCTCACACACACTGTCTCTCACACAAACGCACAGATTCAAACACTCAGACACATGCACACGCACACGCACACATGCACACACACACACACTGGCAGACACACACACGTGTGCGCACACATACACACACACTCTGGCAGGCACACACGCACACACACACACATAGAGGCAGGCACGCAAATACCTACACATGCACAGACACACGAACACGCGCGCACACACACACACACACCCCCCCCCCCACAGTCATGCACACACACACGTACAGACACACAGACACTCTCACACGCACAAACACACAGTCACACACACACACTCTCAATTCCATCTTCACCTCCATCTGCTGGGTGCCTCATCGCCTTAATCACAATCAGACCTTCAGCTCCCTCTGCTGGAAGCTACGCAATTCACGAAAACACACACAGTCTCACCTTCATCTGCTGGGGCCTGTAATAATCTCTAGTACACAAAAATACAGTCACACACACACACAAACACAATTACCTTCATCTCTCTTTTATGGGACATCTAATATTATATCACACACACAATCTCACCTCCCTCTCCCTCTGCTTTGGGCTGTAATAATCTCTTAAGCACACTAATAAGATCACCCTTTACTGTGTGCTGTAATAATCGCTATCTCACACACACACACTCACAGATACACACACAACCTTACCTTTATCTCCCTCTGTTTGGTGCTGTAATAATCTCTACTACACACGCATGCAATCTCACCTTTATTTCCTTCTGCCAAGTGCTGTTAGTATGACAGACGCACACACACACACACACATACATACACACACAAACTGATACACATATATACACACACACTCACATACATATACACACGTATACACTCACACGCACATACATACATGCACACAAACACACACACTCACATACATATAGACTCACACATACACACACATACACATATAGACACACACGTGCATACAGACATATATACACACACACATATGCACACACACACACACACACGTTCTCACACACACACAAATACACACACATACACACACACTCACATACATACATGCATACATACACACATACATACACAAACACTCACATATACACACATACTCATATACACGCACACATATATACACACACACATACTCATATACACACACACATGCGCGCACACACACACACAGGCACAGAATTCGCTTCAACAATCTTGTTCTTCTGGGACTAGTCACAAATTCAACATTTGTGGTTCATAAATAATATGCTGTTATGTTGATTTCATGGCAGCTAGTGTTTTAGCAGGCTGTGCACCCTGGTACTATGAAACATTCTTATTGGCAATAACTCATGGTTAGGACTGTGAGAGACAGTGAATCCTAGTTGAATATGTTAAGATTATTACTGAAGACTTTGACCATGAAAATGAATTGACAAGACATTAAAACAATTCATTGAGAAACTAGGATCTATTTGCAGAAGTTACATAGTTTAGAACTTAGTGTTATTGGATATTTCATCCCATTCCTTAACTCATCCCTGAATTTGCTCTGTGTTCCAGCATAAATAAATGGGTTGATGCAGGAGCTCAGTAGCTGCAGCATGAATCCACTCTCCTCCAGAACAAAATTGGATTCTGTGTAATTGGAACCTGAGAAATAACTGAGTTTTGCTATTCGAACATAAAGGAAAGTTAAAAGGAACAACAGCCACAAGAGGATAAGGCTGCCTGAGATGAAGAAGAGCAAAATGATTGATCGCCTCCGGCTCTCAGTCTCTGGGTCATTCTGATTCTCAAGGTTACTCCGGACCTGGAGTCTCCTGCGGGTCCTTATCGTAGTTAAGATGTGTCGGACGGTCAGAGCGTTGAACAGTAGAATCAGAACGAATGGGAGACATGGAGTTGAAATGCGGTGAATCCAGTCAAAGGCAGCCCACGCAGGTGAGGTGTAAAATGTCGACTTGATTGTACAGAACCATGGAATATTCTTCACTGTATGCATGGGCTCATATATGAAATACCAGAAAGCATTTTTGACAGAACTCACGCCGCAAACTGTTCCTATCACCACTGCTGCTGTTTTCACAGTGCAGTATTTATTTTTCAGCTTCTGGTAACAAATAGCTACAAACCGGTCAAAGGTGAATACCACAGTTACCCAGACCGAGCAGTCCCTAATCCCATAAATTAACACAAAACTAAAGCTACAGATTGGGGTGATGAAAAAGAAACTAGATGGGAAATAAATCCCAACAATCCGGTTTAATATTACAGCCGAGATAATAACCAGGAGATCTGTCACGGCCATGGACACAAGGTAATAAGTGATACATCTCGAGAGACCACACTTTCCTTGGGAGAGGATCACAATCACAGCCAAGTTAGCTGAAAGAGAGAAGAGAGTAGAGAAGTGATTGAGAGACCATTTTAGAAGCATTACGGCCCAATTCCCTACAAAATATTAATTCAACCAAGTTCTCTGTGAAGTTTAGATTTGGCCATTGATTTCAACATCATACCTTTTCAACATTGCTTCCTTGTTTAAAGTGGACATCCAAAGGAAAACAGGACAGAACAGAGAAAAGTCATGGCATTACAAGAAAAAATAATGGAAACAAGGCAGTGCCTGAATCAACCAGGGAATGTTAACTTACCACAAGAAATGAACTGATAAGTAAATAGCTGATTTTAAAATAAAAGATTGTGAAAGATCAAGAATTAAAAACACAGCAGAAGTCATTTAGCATAATAAATATTAACATTTTGGACATTAAAGCTGATCACATGCAGTATGGATCAGAAATCTGCAACAAAACCCTATTTGGCTTGTTGGAACCCAATCATTTTTAGTCCTTGGGATGAACTTAGACCTAATGGACTGCAGTGGTCAAGAAGGTAAACTCACTACCACCTTCTCCAGAGCAACCAAGGATGGGAAATACCTCCTAGACTCGCCAGTAACACTCACATACCATGAATGAAGTTTTTAGAGCAATCCTGTAAATTACTGTGTCATTCTACATTCTCATCAGGCAATTGCAGGATTGTTTCTAAATGGTGCAAGAGAGAAGTTTCCTGAATTTTCACCGGGAATAATGAGCATGTCCAGCCTGTTGCTGCGAGGGATATTCTATTTCCTTCTGGACTGACAGATAACGGGTTCCCACTCAAAGAATAGTCCATCCATTAAAGGTCTCCCTGACTGTTTGATCAGGACCAGGGCTAGCTTCCTCTTTACCTGGGCTTTCAACTTAGTTAGAGAGCCTTGCCCCCAGTTAGGCAGACTTCCTCAATGAGGTGAGAAGGACAGAAGGGAAAGCAGTTCTCAGAAATTCTCATCAATCTTGGATTCTGACCTTCCAACTTTTCACTAGGACTTTTCACTGCTCTTCCTTCTTTCTTTTCATCCCTTGACGCATTTCTTCAAGTTTAACTCCTTGACCAACCCTTCCTCACTTGTTTCTTTGAACAATCAAGTGTCACATTCCATTTCCAAGAGTCACAGAATTATTGTGATACAGATGGAGGCCATTTGGCCTATTATGTTTACTCCAGCTCTCTGAAAATTTTGACTTCAAACTCATGGTGCTTCCCCATACACCTGTACCTAGTTTCCATACAAATAAACATCCAATGCCCTCTTGAATGCTCCAATTGAACCTGCTTCTACCACATTTCCAAAAAGTGCATTCCAGACCCTAACTACTCACTGTGGAAAAAAATTCTGTATCATGTCACCCCTGATTTATTTGCAAAACTCTTCAAAACTAAATCCTCAATCATTTTATGAGCAGGAACAATTTCTTCAAATGTACGCTATCAAGATCCTTCATAATTATGAAAACTTATATCAAACATCCCCTCAGCCACCTCCTCTCCGAGGAGGACAATTCCAACTTCTTCAATCTATCCTCATCACTGATGTTTCTCATCCCTGGAACCAGTCTTGTAAAACACTTCTACACTTTCTCCAATGCAGTCACATCCTTTCCTCAGTATGGCACCCAAAAACGGTACGCAACACTCCAGCTGAGGTTAGTAACCTGTAATAAGTAATAAATTGATAAAAGCATGAGAACTTCCATTGATTGTGTTTGGCCATTATTCAACTACACTCTCAAATCCAACAACACTACAGCTGGGGAGACTGCCCAACAGTCTGCATTCAAAGGAGCAAATTAAAGGTGGCATCAATAGTAAGATATTTAAATGGTTAAACAGCAGAGATATTCCACTGATAAAACAAAGATTTCCACCAGAATCTGAAGGTGTTGGTGAATCTCAACAGATCTGGCAGCCTTTGTAGGGAGAGATACAGAGTTAACATTTCGATTCTAATGTGATGACTCACCACAGAAATCTTAGCCACACAAGATGTCATTATGGGCATTATGTAAGAAGAGGAAAATCTACATGACTAAATGAAGCAAGTTATATCATTAATCAGAGAGATACTGCCATTAAAACAAACAATGAATTCAACCATAGGGGACAATATAGTTTAACAGGGAGAGATGTAATAGCTCAAGAGGAAAACATGACCATCCTAAAGGGGTGTAGAGACATGACACCACTAAAATGGGTGACATTAACAGCACAGAGGAACAATAAAGCACTTAAACATTGCTTTCCATAGCTAGGAACTAACTGCAACACTTCACCTGGAACACCGACTGCTGCAAGGATGGGGTAATAAAGTGCAAACACCAGACCTTTCGGAGTGCCGTGCATTTCTATCAGAGACTCTGCACTGCATTGAATTCTTGAGATATTTATACCTGAGCTCGGCCTCCAGGGAGGCAATTAGATGTTTTTTTTTTATCTCCTGCAGTAATTAGAGTCACTGTAACAAACACATTCGATCCAACACTCTTGATGATGGCTCTCTGACTTCATTAGAAACGGTTTCCAGGGAAAACATCAAGTGACCTGTCTAATGATTCGGATTATGTTCCTGCAAGAGCCAAAACGAGAAGCTCAATGGGCTATTACAGTTGGAGTGAGCAAATACGAGAATGAGTTGGGTCTAACGTTCTCTCACAGTGATTGAACAGGAGTCAGCCTCATACATACCTGAGAGGAACGGTATTCTGATGAATGGAGATGAAGGGTGATCTCACTGTGGGACTAAAATGCTCTGAAGATTTGGGGAGGTTTCTTCTTGCGAGTCAACTCTCCATTCATGCCCACCTCTTACACAGGACCCCAAGAACTCTGGTTCTGTGGAAGAACCTTTTGATGGTGCACTTTGTCAAAAGTTCTTTTATCAAGGGGTTATGCCATTTAAACTGACAACAAACAAAAGACAGGGTTTATTCCTCAGCCCTGGACTAAACTCAGTCTGGCCAGGCAAGTTGAAACAGTTGTTCGAAGGTTTATATGACCCTCAGGTTTAGTAAACAGACAGACAGAGTATAAAAGAATGGAAGTGATAGTACACTTCTACAAATTCTTGATGAGACTATGCTTCAAGTTTAAAGTTCTGGGCACCTTATTGTAAGGAAGGAAATTAAACCCTTGGAGAGAATGCAAAGGGGATTTGCTTGAACCATACCAGGAATGAGGGATTTTAGACACAAGGAAAGATTACAGAAATTTGGTTTTTCTCCTTGGAGCAGGGAAATTAAGAAGTCGGGGAGAAACTGTGGCTCAGTGGCTAGCACTGCTGCCTCACAGCGCCAGGGACCTGGGTCTAATTCCCGCCTTGGGTGACTGTCTGTGTGGAGTTTGAACATTCTCCCCATGTCTGTGTGGGTTTCCTCCCACAGCCCAAAGATGTGTAGGCCAGGTGCATTGGCCATGATAAATTACCCATAGCGTCTGGAGATGTGTGGGCTAAGAGGCTTAGCCATGGGAAATGCATGGTTACAAGGATAGGTCGCGCTTCAAGATGTCAGTGTGGACCCAAACGGCCTGCTTCCACACTGTAGGGATTCTGAGTGATCGAATAGAGTGTAAAGAAAGTTATTTTGTTTCCATCAGTTGGTGTGTCATTTCAAGATTGTCAGCACAAGAGCTAGGAATGAGATGAGGAGAAATTTCTTTCTGGAATAGAATCCCTACAGTGTGGAAACAGGCCCTTCAACCCAACAAGTCCATACCGACCCTCAGAGCATCCCACCCAGACCCATCCCCCTATAACCCACCTAATCTACATCCCTATAGGCAATTTAGCACAGCCGATTCACCGAGCCTGCACATCTTTGGACTGTGGGAGGAAACCGGAGCACCCGGAGGAAACCCATGCAGACACGGGGAGAATGTGCAAACTCCACACAGACAGTCACCCGAGGGTGGAATCAAACCCAGGTCCCTGGCGCTGTGAGGCAGCAGTGCTAACCACTGAGCCACCCTCAAAGAGAGTTGTTAGAATCTGGAACAGGCTGTCTGGGAACATGGTGGAGGCAGATTCCAAAGGAGGTTTCAAATGAGAACTAGATATATAGCTATGAATTTAGAGGGCGACATAGATAAGTCTGGTGAGTGGGACTGTTGAGTAGCCTTTTCAGGAACTAGCACTTTTTATAGTGCGCTATAAAAGGTCCGATTCTATGATTGTATTGTGTTTCTTTTGCCTTACCCCTGGATGGATTTGTCTTGGGGATTAGAGAAACAGCAGCGAAGGTAAATGATTATTCTGTGTCTGTTTTCACTGAAAAAGATACAAGAAATCCCTCAGAATCAAAGGCCCAAGTAACTGGAGGGAATTAGGAGTTTGTATTGAGAGTGTTGCAATGGAGTAATTAGTAGGATTGAAAGCTGATATGTCCATAGGATTGATAAGTTCTCAGGATCAGTGTTCCCTCTCAGGCTGCATGCATGCAGTCTCTCTGGTGTTCCACATGTGCCTATCGGCATCAACACACTGAACACAGTCTTGGCGACCAGCTTTAGAAGTCGCTGCTCAAATCTCAGAGACCCATGCAGCTCATAAGAAAATTGATGAAACAATAGAAGGTTGTGCGCACAGCCCAGACCATCACGGAAGCCAACCTCTCATCCACGGACTCTACTTACATTTCTTATTGTCGCGGAAGGCTGCCAACATCATCAAAGGCCACCCCTCCTCCTCAACCCTGATAATGCTCTCCTACAACCTCTTCTGTCAGGCAGAAGATTCGGAAGCTCAAACACACGCACCAGCAGGTTCAAGAACAGCTTCTTCCTTTCAAATAATGGGTGGCATGGTGGCTCAGTGGTTAGCGCTGCTGCCTCACAGCACCAGGGACCCAGGTTCTATTCCAGTCTGGGGCAACTGTCTGTGTGGAGTTTGCACATTCTCCCCTTGTCTGCGTGGGTTTCCTTCGGGTGCTCCGGTTTCCTCCCACAGTCCAAAGATGTGTAGGATAGGTGGATTGGCCATACTAAATTGCCCATAGTGCCCAGGGATGTTTAGGTTAGGTGGGCTAGACATGGGAAGTACAGAGGTAGGGGAATGGGTCTGGGTGGGATGCTCTTCAGAGGGGTGATGTGGACTTGATGGGCCAAATGGCCTGTTTCCATACTGTGGGGATTCTATGATTTTGTTAATGTCGATCTTCTGTGCAGCCCTAATTTTGTAAGCCTCGCTTTGTCTAAGCACCCTATCATCTGTATGTCCTTGTTTGCTCTGATCTGCCTGCACTGCTTGCAAAACTAAGCTTTTCACCATACTTAGTTACATGTGACTACAATAAATCAATCAAATCAAATCAAAAACTCTGCCCAAGACTAGGTAGTATTCATTCCAAAGTGTTGAAGGAAGTAGCTATAGAGATAATTGATGCATTTTTGACCATCTCAGAAAATTCAATTAGTTCTGAAATAATTCCTTCAGTTTGGAAGCTAGCAAATGTCACCTCACTTTTCAAGCAAGAGTGGAAACAGGAAACTGTAGAACCTGTCAGCCTCACATTGGCAATAGAGAAACTACCAGAATCACTTAGAAAAGATGTGATAAATGTGCACTTGGATGATAATGATGTTTTTGGACATCATCAGCATAGATTTGGAACTAGCAAAACACATTCGACAAACTTAGAATAGAATCCCTACACTGACCCTCTGAAGAGCATCCCACCCAGGCCCACTCCCTTACTGTAACCCTGCATTTCCCATGGCTTATCCACCTAACCTGCAAATCCCTGGACACAAGGGACAATTTACTCTGGCCAATCAACCTAACCTGTAAGAGGAAAGTGATGCTATGGACAATGTTGATGAAGGGGGATTCATGGATGTAATTTTCTTGGAGTTTCCAAAGGCTTTTGACAAGTTCCCCCAAAGGAGGCTGGTGAGCAATATTAAAGCAGGTGGGATGGACATTATGTACTGTCATGGATTAAGGATTGGCTAACAGACAGATAACAGCATAGGAACAAATGAGCCATTCTTGTGTTGGTGGACTGTGACTAATGGGATACCACAAAGATCAGTACTTGGGCCTCAGCTGTTCACAATGTACGTCAATGATTCAGAGATTGAGACCAAATGTAATATTTCCAAATTTGCGGATGATACAAAACTAAGTGGGAATGTGAAATGTGAGGCAAATTAAAAATGTTTTCAGGAGGATTTCAACAGGTAAGAACATGGCAGGTGGCAATCTGAGACAAAAATAGAATAAAACATAGAACAGTACAGCACAGGAACTGATCCTTCGGCCTACAATGTTGTGCCAAACATGATGCCAAATTAAAGTAATCCCTTCTGCCTGCCTTTGGTCCACACCCCTCCATTCCTTGCATATTCATGTGCTTATCTAAAAGTCCCTTAAATGCCCCTATCGTATCTGCCTCCACCTCCATTCCCTGGCAGCGCATTCCAGACCCCTACCACTCTCTGGGTAAAAAATTTGCCCCTCACATCTCCTTTGAACTTTCCCCCTCTCACCTTAAATGCATGCCCCCTAGTATAAGACATTTCAATTCTTGGGAAAAAGATTCTGACCGTCAATGCTATCTATGCATCTCATAATTTTATAGACTTCTATTAAGTCTCCCCTCAGCCTTCACCGCTCCAGAGAAAACAACTTAAGTTTTACCAGCCCCTCCTTATAGATCATACCCTCTACTCCAGGCAGCATCCCGGTAAACCTCTTCTGCATCTTCTCCACAACCTTCACATCCTTCCTGTAATGTGGTGACCAGAATTGAACACAATACTCTTAGTGTGGCCTCACCAATGTCTTATAAAGCTGCAACATGACATCTTGACTATTGTACTCAATGCCCTGATCAATAAAGGCAAGCTTGTCATATGCCTTCTTTACCACCCTATCTTCTTGCATGGCCACTTTCAGGGAGCTATGGACTTTAACCCAAGATCCTTCTGTAAATCAATGCTGTTCAGGGTCCTGCCATGAACTGTACATGTTTCCTTAACATTTGATCTCCCAAAGTGCAGCACCTCACACTGACCTGGATTAAACTCCATTTGCCATTTTTCTGCCCATATCTTCAACTGATCTATATCCTACTATATCCTTTGACAACCTTCTACACTATTCACAACTCCACCGATCTCTGTGTTGTCTGCAAATTTACCAACCCACCCCTTTACATTTTCATTCAAGTCATTTATGTATATCACAAACAGCAGAGGTCCCAGTACGGATCCCTGTGGAACACTGCTAGTCACAGACCTCCAGCCTGAAAAACATCCTTCCACCCACTAGCCTCTGCCTTCTAGGAGCAAGCCAGTTCTGAATCCAAGTGGCCAAGTCACCGTGGATCCCATGCATCTTATATTCT